TGGCCAAGATATAATGTTTGTTAAATAAACACATGTGTTGATTTCCATTTGTGTGTTGATTTCAATTTTCTTTGATAAAAAATGTAAGCTATCTAAACAGTTATAAACTATTTAATGACATGACATAATAATTCGACTTCGTCCATTGTAAACACTTCAGAGAATATGATTATATCGGGTGTTTTATCAATCCGCTTTGTTTTTATGTTGCTTGTCACTACTGTATATTAATATTTCTCATGATGACGTCTTAATGTTACGACGTAATGGGCTGTATCATAATAACGGTTTTGCTATGTGATGACCAATGCTCTCTGCCATCTAGCACAAATCAAGTACGTTATCATAAAAATGTAAATGTCAATCCTATATGCTGTTGCATACGGAATTAAATGAAATTTGAAATTGTGAAATAAACATCATCAAGTCTGTTTCTGTATAGGAATATACATTTTACCTGTCAATGGCGAGGTTTCTTAATAGATTTAACGTGTGGCAGTGTTTGGCTTCTGTTCACAGTGGCACATGCATGACATGATATTTTCCGTCATAGTCAAAATACTGAAACCAGCTAAATACTGATACATTTTTTAAAATAGTACATTTAATACAGTATATGAATGCAGATAAACCCAAATATATTTCTTACGTGTCTCAGATACTAGGGATAAAGTACAAATTATGGTAATTGCTACTAATTTAAAGGAAATTAGTTTTTAGTGTCACAGAATGACTAATAACACATTTACACGCTTCCTTGTAATCACTGATGAATAATACAAGAACATGATAGTATAATTATCTTATTACATATGTGTCTTTTGTACACAAACTGTATTAAATGAAAGGATATGATAATTTGTAGTTCTTATAAAATCTGTACTTGCCAAAAACATGTAGAAGACATTATACTGTCGATTGTCACCATTTACGGCGATAAGAATTATTGCATATCTTTACCAAACAGATTACTTATCTTAGGTGTTCAACGCTATAAGGTTAACACTAATTCCTTTACATGTCTATATCAACATTAAATACTCAATTAAATATAAACTAAGTAATTTTACTGACAATGATATCAGTATGAAATCGTTAATGCCTAAGTGTAATTTGTAGGAAAATATACAACATGGATTGGATAAATGCAGACGCTCCTTTGTTAGCTTAATTTCTGTTTTGTCTCCAACATTTAAGTGCAAATGAACTCTCTCCTGTGCTTTGGATTTGACACGAATAAATAACAAACTGTACACTCACTGACTTTAGATAAGGCCTATTGGGACAATATTTTGCAGAATGGCACCGTTAAATTCTTTAGTGCTCCTATTTTTTTCTGGATTATTTAGCGTTGTGTTAACAACTCTTTTGAAGGAGAAACGAATATTGCTAAGTGATCCAAATTATCTACAGCAGGAGCTCCACCAAATACAGGTGAAACTGCAGGATTATGAGGCTACTAAAAACCAAATATCCGATCTACTTTCTAAAATAACTTCGCAAGAGACTGATATATTGTCACTGCAGTCTAAACTAGCAGATGCTGAAATGGAAGTTTCCACACTCAAACAGAACTTTGACACAACACAAAAATCTGTTTCAACGCTACAGTCTGAACTTTCAGTGAAAAATTCCGAAATTGTTCAGCTACAGACAACGGTTAGTAATCAAGAACATGAATTGTCAGTCCTTCAGTCAACAATTACAGCACAAGGATCTAATTTGACTTCCATTCGATCTGAACTCTCTGCTGATAAATCACATATAGTTTCTCTTGAAGCAAATGTCTCTACAAGTTTGTCGCAGATGTCTGGAAAACTTTCGGGTCAGGAAACGGAGATAACATACTTGAAGTCACAAATTCAACATAATCCAGGTACGATATACTTATCATATTGTAGAACCGTTGATTTTCGCGAAGTGTTAGAATTAGTATTATTAGATGTATTACGTCATATTTTCACACGAAAACAAGTTTCCGCGACTTTCTTTTCAAAAGTGACGAAAATTAAGCCTCACACTAATAAGACTGATAGTCGATTAATGATGATGTTAGGAGAGGGATAGCATGGCTGAATGTGTATGTTGTTATGCAGATAACACAGGAACAGTATACACCCGCTGGGGGAGAAGAGATTGTCCCGCAGATAATGGAACACATCTGGTTTACTCAGGTAACAATGTTTAATCAAATTTATTAATCTTATCAGCTATAAAGCATCTATATATATCTACATACTGATATGCTGAATACACTTCCGATCTTTTCTGAGAAAAGAGACAGACTGCAGATTGCATGCAAATATCAACAAAAATGTAGCTAATTAGTTATCTTGAAATATGCTTTGTTGAGGTATATAAAGAAAAAGTTCTAATTGTAACGGAGACCGTTACACAAGCCCCAGAACTATCCCTCCTATCGCAAAGTGATGTTAAATAAAGTAGATATAATGCTACTCAATAACGGCAGTCATGCATGACTCAGGTAAACCAGTGACCAGTCAACTAACTCTTTTCAAGTTTCAAAGTTAAATAGTTTTAGCAGACGTCACTCCTCCCCCAATCCCAATCCCCGTCCCGTGGCGGCCACCTTGGGAATCACATCCGAAAACCTGAGGTGCATAACCAGACTAACCATGTATCCAACGTTTCAAGATATTCCAGTGAGTAGGTTTCTGAGATTAATTTCGGAACAAATGGCGGAAGGATTGAATGACGAGAATATAAAAATAATATTTAAATAAGTATCTTGTTATAATACTAATTGCTGTGTTAATGACTTGAGCGAATATACAACAATTGATCCTAGAACATATTGATTAAAGTAGAACATCCGATGGTTTTACTATAAACTAGTGAATACTTTAATCATTTATAAAACTCATTTCCCAGCACACATTTTTTTTTCTTTTTCCACCATGACCGCTACATCAAGTGTCCTCCGACCCCTTTGCCAATAAAAGGATATCTTTAAAATTTCATGTCCTAGTCACAGCTGCATTTTAAATACACTGATATCTGTATATACATATAAACGGGCAGTTTGAAGAGCGGAAAACGGATTAAAAATATATGTCTTCAACTTCTGAATAAAATGCTAAGTTCATGCAGTAAATTAAATTTTAATATTCAGTTTTCAAATACGTAGGAATTTGAATCAGTCACTCTGAATATGTGATTTTTACTAATTTGGAGTCACATATTATATACTCCTTGTTTAGAAACATGAAATTTAGTGTAATTAAGTTTATTGTAGGGTATATTTGTATGCAGTTTTTGTGTCCGGTCCACTGTAGGATACGCCGGAGGTTCCAACTCTGCAAAAAGCGGTGGTGCGGCTGATATGATGTGTCTACCAAATAATCCGACATGGGGACCTCACAAAGAAACCCCGCCTTACAACCCCGCCTACATGTATGGAGCTGAGTATGAGGACGCGCTTCTGTTCAGCATGCCTAACCAGGATGAGGATGTTCCATGCGCCGTTTGCAGAAGTTCCTACCACTCAACATCAATCATGATACCAGCACGAGAGCAGTGCTACCCGGACTGGGTGGAAGCCTATCATGGTGTGCTGTCTGCCGGAAGCAACGGTTCTCCAAGTCCCACTCAGTTCATATGTGTCGATGGAAATCCGCAAGCGCTGACAGGTGGTGCTATCAATAACAGCGAAGGACGGCTACTTTACCAAGTCAGAACAGTGTGTGGTTCCTTACAATGCCCGCCATATGAGAACGACAAGGTTCTCTCATGTGTCGTCTGCTTAAAGTAAATTCAGAAACAAAACTCACATAGATATAGTTTTTTAAGCTTGATAATGTATGAAAATTACATTTGATTGTTTTAATTTGTATGGAAAAAGAAAAAAAATATGAAATCCATGTTAATTGTTTTTGTAATTCAATGACTTAACACTTTCTCCTACACCTACTGGCCCAAGCAGTCTTATCTTACTATTAATTCTATTCAGTAAAATGGATAACAATTCAATACTTTTTGTCACATAATTGATTTTTCAAGCATTATAGTAGAAAGTGGACATTTCTACGTCATACCTGTAATCTGCAAATGAGTGACGCCATTTTCATTATTAATATTTACGTCACAATAAGCTAAATTAAACATATATATTATGCAAAAACATAACATGTGTATATTCACTGAATAAGAAAACAACCACGATAAATATATTTCCATAAGCCATAGGCGAAACGGAAACGGATTTGCGATCTTTTTTATTATGCGATCAATTATGTTGAAAAAAAATACAGAAAACGTTTATTTACATGTCGAATCATATGATATCTATATCGCCAATGTGACGTCACAGAGTAATATGCACTTTTGTATCATCATTTCAGCATTTAGTCTTAACGTCAAAATAGATCATATAACATGAGTTCATACGCTATAATCACGGTTGTGTATGAGTGTATATCTTATTTAGATAAACGGGCGTTCACCTTATCTTCGAAAAACCGTAATGCCGATTTACCTGTGATATGACGAGATTTATTGATGTAGGTATAGATCTGTAATTAGTGCACTATAAACAGCAATTATCATCTACAGGAAATCGTCAATTGTATGTCAGGGTTTATCACTCACCTTGTCTTTGTTATTGACAGCTTAAACTGTATTCTCATCTTATTATATGTATAAATTCAAAAAAATCCGTTCTATATATCTAATTACTTCCATTCCTTTCAAGAGTTCATGTTGATGAACCCAAATGTAACATAATATTCTGCAGTGCAATGCGATTGCATATTAAACACAGTAGAACACATTATAGTTGAATGAATTTACAATTCAAAATTACGTTCAAAATACTTGACATTTATGCAGATATATGAGTCTTCTTCTTTTAACTAACAAATATAATTTATGCACAAATAAATAGGACTTCAGTCAATGCATAACATAACATTTTTTACGATCAAAAATGACATTAATTCCTGTTCTTTACTTAATAAACAAATGTACATATGAAGGTCAGCATTCATCTCCTATATACAATGGTCGTTTAACTGCCACGTTTTACTAAATGAAGCGATGTTATTTGTAATATCGCCAGTAGCCATCAACATATCATTATAAGGTTCGTTGTCATAAGTTCCCAGCAGACCACCAGTCTTTCCAAAGTACCATCCACTGAGAAAAAAGTAGTATGACTCTGTTTGACGGTTATATTTCAAACTGAACCCATTTCCGGCTATAATTAATTCATCCCCGAATTTTGTGACGTAGATATCATGACTGTGGTATGGAATATGGATCAAGGCACCATCGATGCGGACCTGTTTTAAAAATTCGCATATATTATTGATAATATAATGTATAATATAGAGATGTGACAAAACCAAGCATGTCCTAGTAGGTAATGATTACTAGAGTAACAAGTAAAAATCATACCAACAGTAAATTATCGATTACTTTTCCAGAGAAAGGATATGAATACAACACATAAAAAGGGAGAGGAGAAAAAATTGTGAATGGTTTTCATTCGACGTAATGTTTCAACATGAATTAATGTGTTATGTAGTGGAAATCTTAACATTTAATAACACCGGAACGCTTTGCATAATCTTAACCACAAGTAAACTGTGGAAAACCGTGGAGTGAAATTTAGTGAATATAAGATTTAAAATATTGATAGTTATAAAATGTCTGCGAGACATGAATGCCTCCGTTCCAATGCATACTAGTTTCATGAATTTTAGAAGTTAACAAACGTCATCTTTGACCCTATCATCCTGACCGATGACAACCTGAACAAGAAGGAGTAGAAAATGGTGTTTTGATTTTAAGGATAAATGTTGAGAGGTTCTCTAGATATAACACTGATTCTGAATGGAACGCTACGTGACGTATCAAGAATAAAAATAGTAGTGACGTTTATGAAAAATATAACGTGCCCAATAAAGTGAAATGAATGCAAATGGAACGATTTGCATGCGAGACACTTACCTGCTTTCGAGGAGAGAGATGAATGGTATGCATTTGTGTCGAGATAACAAATTTCGTTCTCTTTTTATCCAGTACTTCCATGACAACAGAAAAGTTTCCATCAGTCAAGTCTCCTGCTAAAAGGAAGTTACAAGCGCCTTCGACTGTATACACTGTTCCGTCAAACGTTTTGATGACTCCATTCGATATCGAAGCAGAAGCTGTGATACAAAATCATAGTCTCAAATATGTTTAAAACATTTTATCAAATCATTATTCAAGTGCAACTAATTCACAAAGACATATGCAGTTTGGACACCATCATTTTAGTAAAGTTTCAGTTTGAAACCTTCGTAAGCTTTACGATACCCTCTTGAATTCCTTCAAATAGTTTTTTCTTGTTCTCCATCCATATTTTTTTCATTGACCGTGCATTAAAAACCCATCTATATAGGATATCCAGCGAAAATATGAGTAGTTTGAAAGAAATTATTTTTCTGATCATTGTTTTAACAGTTATGAAAACGTCATCGGTTAAAAAACGATTTGTTGTATAAGTAATGAAGATGAAAATTCATATTGGTACCTGTAAATGGCGGGATCCAGGATTTTATACCAGCGACAAGGATGTTATGTACCATCGACGCTGTTTCTCTCAAGGACTCTACCGATGACGTCAGTCCTGTGACGTAATTCTTGAAGTTAACGTTGGGTAGAGATCTCAACGATTCCAAATCGATGGGTACGTATATTTCTGTCTCGTGGAAACCGTTGTTTGCGTCATACATAATAACACCTGTCGATTTTAAGTCATCAATAACACGACTTAGATGTTCTGACGTCATTATGACGTTGGATTCGGTGATGCTGGAAATGGTATCAATAACTGTTATGACATTACTCCATTTGCGGAGGAACGCTGTATATTTATAATCAATGAGATCTGTCATGGTTAAGGCCGTTTCTGAAAGAAAGAGATTATTCAGTTTGAGATATATAATCAGGGTTTAGAAACTTTTAATATTGCAAATAGTATCATCATAGACTCAAAACTATGAGTCCAACTTTGATGGTAACGTATTTTTTATTATGATCCTTAACCAGGAACTGTTACTACTAAAAACTGTCGGCTTGATAATAATACATAATCAATAAAAAAAAAAAACAAAAAAAAAACAACTTGAATTCGTATAATCTTACATGTTTTATTCAGTTATTTTTTTCTCTCTCTCCTGAAGTCACTTAAATGTTTTGTAATTTCATGGTTAGTGTAACAATGTGACGTCATAATATTACCTCTGACGTAATCGAAGTGTTGCAATACCGAGATAGAGTCATTTAGCAGTCTGTCGTTTAATAGGTAAATCTGCGTTGCCAGTTTTTGCCCAAGTTTCTGTTGCATTGCCTAACAATTGTAGACAATAAAACAAAACGATGAAGAATTAGAATGAAATCATCGACCAATCACACAATTACTGAATCAATTCTAGACATTATGAAACAGGGACTGAGATAATATTTCATCTGATGTCAGTAAAAAAGATTTCAGCACAGGTCACAAGATTCATCATGTACAGTGAATCATTAGAATTAAATGGAATCAAGAAGTTTGAATCAACATAATTTCTCCTAATGAATATAGAGAAAGACGAAAAGAAGGGTGAAATAGCGACACACTCATCCATAAAATATGATTACGTGAAAACTAGTTGGTGATGCAAACACTGTAACGTGACTGAATAAATTTAAGAATGCATTTTACCGCAATTTTAGGAATAAGTCAGGCAAACCAATATATTTTGGATTAAAACTGTGATAACTAAATTCGTGTTTTCAATTTACATAATAAGAACTTACCGTGCACTTTTTATCTACGTGTCCGGGTGTCGCAAATCACAATATCTTTATCGCAATTTAGAGACAACAGATTTCTAAAACCATCAATTAATGATCAATTATCGACAAGGGGTGACTTTTATTTTCCAAACCTCTAGTACTGCATATCCTGACTCAATATCAACGTCAACAATATCCTTCCATGAAACATGCTTCGACGCAGAAGTATCCATCAAGTCAGCAATCCTGCCTACACTGGTCATTGCTGTGTCGTAGTGTTGACTTAAATGGAAAATGATGTCATGAAGATGAAAATCGGATCAACAGAGTCCTATGATATTTCTGTTGTATTAATAATAAATTTTGCATTCCTTCAGCAAGTGAAAAGAAATTTATTTCCCACAGACATATAAGCCCTTTAAATGTCACTTATATGTCCATTAATAAAAGTATCAGACGGGTGCAAAATTATTCCAACACTGTTGTATGGAACTTCACAGTATATATATATTTTGGTATACTTGTGAATCAATGTATAAGTTATCATTTATTGGTTGTTTCATAGCTCTAAACTTTTCTCTCAGTTGAAGAATTGTGTCTGTGTTTACTTGTGAATTTCTTTTTCAATTTTATTTATTTATTATTTGTTTACTTCAAAAAGACATATCGTCTTCATTATTTCAAGAATTTTCGAGAATTAGAAATTAGTATATATTAACGCAAAGTATACGTACTATGTCGTGACATATAAAAGAGAAGCCATTTCGTTATTGTTGTAATGTTGATTACAGCAATTATTTCTTACTTACGATATATGATTAAGAATAAACTCTACAGTTTCCTGGTTAAAGTGTTCATCTTCAATTAGATAGTCCCAGTCAATAGTACTCTTCACAGCAGTAATGCTTTCTTTCATCTCAAGCATTTTATTAGCACACATCATCAATATTGGTGTTAGTTCTGCCAAAATGTGCCTTCTAATACTATTATATTTTGAATCGATTTCCGCAGTAACGGAGTTTCCTATAACTCGAAATGGCACGGATATCTTAAAATTCGAGGGCAGCTGCAATCCATAGGCCTGAAAATAAATATGACAATATATATAAATATATATATACATATATCAAATTAATCTTTTCGCGGCAAAGTCTGCTAGCTTATTAACTTGGCTAATCAAATTTCAGCGGATTATCGCTATAATAAGACTACCGCTGAATATCAAGGTTTACATTAATAATAGTAAACAATCTACAGTACAACTTGCCATAACGTTTTTAAAGTGTGAAGATAAACAGTGTTACGTTCTACATTAGCAAGGCTAAAATTGATCAAATTATTACTGATCGCACATTTAAAAAAAAAAAAAATGCTTTTACCGTGATATCTGGAAAGAGGTCACGTCTCCAGTTTATTCTAGTTTTGATAATCCTGGAAGAGTGTAGACTCGTTGTCACAGATAGATCGTTTATTTTTCCTGTGAGATATTCGCTGTCCACGGCAGCTCTCATATAACTATCGTTGATGAAATACAGTTCAAGGGAAATAACTCTTGGTGGAATTTCTGAAAAGGCAATTGTAAATCCAACCATGAATCACGTGACCATGAAATAAAAGTATTTCAAAATGAAAGTTTCCAATTATAAATAAAAACTTTATTTATTTTACCTGGTTTTCATATAGTGCAGCAAATTAAACGTCAAAAACCTCTCTCTCTCTGATTACAATCAAATGTTTTTGATAACAATGATTACATGAAACAATATCCACAAAAATATCAAAGTCAAAATAAATAATCAAAGTGGACCAGTTGTTTGATACATTTTTCGTCTATTACTTTAATATAAACTCTATCTCGATCATGAGGTATTGGAACTGTCATGGCGTTACTATCCATGTTTTTACCAATTCTGCCGTCAATATGTGGTTGTGTTGGATCAAAGTTCAATTCCAAAACCTTTAGCTGTTCGTCCACTATGCTACGTAATGACAATCCGTATGGAATATCTGTATTCACATGTGCAGAAACTTTGATTGATTTGATTGGTGACGTCATCTGTAAAAAAAATCCTTATATCAGCAGTTTTTAATCAAGAATATTTTATACTTATCTTATATCACACTTCTCTAAGATCATACAAAAGACACACAACTGAAAGCACTGTTCAATTCAGATTTGGAGGCAAATTCATGAACTTCACTGCAGCATACAGCTGTTTCGTCTTTCTAGTGGTAATCGTCACAAATTGTACACCTCCTAAAAGCTTTGCTAGTTCTAATAATTATTTGAGAACTACTAATTCAATGCACAACTTATAGCAGAATAGAATACTGATATTTAATATACCGTGTGGAAACTGTTTTAAGAAACTCTGATAATACAGCGGATTTTTTTAACCTATGGCTTGTTTCATTATGTTCTGAGTAATCTGCTTTACAAAATGATCGAATCATTATTCGACTTGAAACGATACAAATACATATTTATTAATCGTCTTATGTGTTGAAAAAGTAATTAAGAAAGATAGTACTTATAACGATAATTACCTCAAAAGCCGCTTCTGTCAATGCGCAATTCACAATTCCTTGAAATGAAATGTCTTTGTTATCATTGTCTGTGCTAAGGTATTGAAACTCTGTGCCGGTGAAATAGACATCATTTATATACCCAATGTGGGACAACATCTTGATATCCATTGTCGTCATCGGATGTTTCATTCCCGCGACAAAACTTAAGTTCCGTGCCTCACTTGTAGAGTCGTCCTCTAGGCGTGAATAAATTACCACGTGGTTGGCTTCATCTTCAGAAATTCTCAGTCCGATCTCGCCGTCGAATATTATATTTCCACTGTTTGAAATAACACTTGAATGCATTTCGTACTCCTGCAAAACACAGAATTATGCCATAGATTTCACCGAACAAACCCACTATTTAATAAAATGGGCAGGGTTTAAGGTGTTTCAAACTATTGCGAGTTAAACAGCTGTTGGTACGTAATGCGAGATCATGTCGCATATCAGAAGGTTGTTACGTTTTATATAAAAAAAAAAAAAAAAAACAGCAAGAAAAAACAATATGTCAATTTATTCATAATTCAAACCCATAGTCAATAAAATAGGAGCTACGGGTACTCCTGAAAAATTACAAGGAGAATAAGACTAGGTGTTCCGGAAGAGTAAGCTTCTTCTGTTTCATCGACAACACCCGCTATATAACCTTGGTCAATCCAATTAAGTAAATGTCACGTTCTCGAAAAACAACACCAACAGAACCATCAGGCAAACTAACGAAAATCAACCATGCCCAGTTTTGCATAGCAAATAGAAACAGAATATTTTACAATGACATCATTATGACGTCCATAAAACTCTCCGACAATTTCCATAAACCAATCAAGCATTTGTTTATGAAGTGAAAATTATCAATATTGATATTTTTAAACTTAATTGGCTGAAATATTGGTATTAGGTTTAAACATATATAATTCTAAAACAACATAATCAACTTGCCTTTCCAATTTCGGGTAACATCAATGTAAGTGATAACGTTGCTGATCCTTGCTGATATGAAGCAATTCCTCCTGCTCTAAACTTCACTTCTCCTCCCGAGAATATCTCCATACTTTTGTTCCACGTGGTATAGTTATCACTATTGTAAATATCATGGACATTTATCACTAGTGTGCTTACTTGAAGAAGCAAATGCTCACGACGAGCTTTTGTTTGCTGATCATAGTTTTCGCTAGTCTTTTGTTGGATTCGAAATAAGGTGACTCCTTCTATAATTATCAAGACCGAAAGTGAGCTTGTCATATTGTAATCCGCATGCATGTAATTTTCAACTTCCACGACATTGTTTGAAATGTGGACATGGTCGTTGTTTACACATGTGACAACTTGAATCGAAAACGGTTTTCGCATTTGCAACGAAAGTAAACATCCGTCGTCTTTATTCAAAACAAAATCCAGAAATACTTTATCATTACGTTTGGTTGTAAGGGAAAACAAAATAGTTGATGAATTATCTTCTGAGAGAATATCTCTGTCTGCCTTATCAGCAGGTAGTACATAATCCGACGACAGTTTCTGCCCCGTACCCATATTGAATTCGTGTATTTCCCCTCCAACAGAAACTTCTAGTTCAGCATATGACAGAAAACTCCTGGTCCATTGTAACCCTATTGATCCATTGAAAGTTTCCAAACGCGGCAGTAATGCATTTACGAAGACATTGGCTTCGAATCCGTATGGAGATGTATGATTGATATCAATACTGTAACCCCTACGCACGCCATTGTAGAGGGATATTTCTGCCTTATTCAATAACAATGTATTTGTGTGAATGTTCAAAAAAGATACTGACATGTTTTCGTATCCAACTATAGGAGTCTGCAACACCAGACTTCCTTCATGAAGAGAGCAATTGAGAGTGAGCTCAATGGTTCTATCTGAAGCGTAGACGATTTTGATATGACTGGAAACACTTTCTCTGTAGATATTATTCATGTAAACAGCCGATATGTATTCATAACCAGATATTGGCGTTTGAATATATATAACCCCTGTTGGAAA